GGTCCCCCGTGGGGTGGGGGGGGGGGGGGGGCAGGGCGCGGCAGTGCTCCATGCACCATGTGCATGGGCATGTCCCCGTGCAATTATCCTCCACAGTGGTGCCTGCATGGGCTGCCACATTTCTGCTGCCTCCCGGGGGGGGGGAGGGGGGTTGGGGCACCCCCCCAGCCCCATGGTGAGGATGAGGCTGAGCCCTGGTTATGAGGAAGAGGACTTCAGCCTGGACCCCAGGACACCATGACATCGCCCACGTGGCCATGACCATGCAGTGAGCTAGTGGGGAACAGCTTGTTTAGGGGCAGAGCATCTCCCTTCCTGGACGCTGCACTGCACTGCACCAAAGCAGAAGTGGGGCCTGGCTGCCCCTCACCATGTACCCACGCCCCTGTGTGGCCCTGGGCTACCCCTTGCCTCATACTCCTTGTCAATGGCCTCTGGTGTCAGCAGGGAATCGGGATAGCCGATCATCACCATCATGTACTGGAGCTGTGGGGAGAGCAGGCTGCTGGGTCAGGACCCGCAAATCTGGCACCCCGGAGCTGGGGGGAGGCAAGGGCAGGGGTATGTGCTCATGATTGAGGAAGGAGAGGTCCCCCATGCCCCCTGCCTAGGGTCAATACCTTGGCCCTGGCTGCTCTCCGTGTCTCCTCGTCCATCCAGTCCAGCTCATCCAGGCGCTGGTCCAGGATGTACTTGATGTCCTCCACTAGCTGCTGCACCTATGGCAGGACCCATGGTGGGTCACCATGAGCACTGGCATGGCATCTTTGCCACCTGTCACCCCCGTGGACACAGTCAGGTCACTGCCATGGTGGCTGGGAGTGCCCACTGGTGTCACTGAGCAAGTGACCCCTCGTCTTGGGGGAGGACGTGAGCCCAAGCATCCACAGGCTGCCAGCCCTCTTGGGGTGCAGGGTGGCAGTGGCCACCTTGTGAGGCGACATGGCTCCATGCCTGCAGGTGGCACCACCTACCTTGGCCTTGCTGGTGGAGGAGAAGTACTCCTCGACGAAGAGGGCACCCAGAGCCATGCCAAAGTGTTTGTTGGTCTGGCTCAGGCAGATCTTGCCCAGCTCAATCTGCTTCTCGTTGCCCTCCATCTCCTTGGAGAGTTCATGGATGGCATCGCGGAAAGGGGTTGAGAGGTGCTCGCTCAGCACCACCACAATGCGCCACAGCATGTAGTTGTGAAGGATCCTGGTGGGGGGGGCAGGATCAGGCCCCCTCCCCCAGCTGGGTACCACAGGTCCGCAGGCACTGGATGAGGAGCATGTGCCAGGGGCAGGGAGCATATCACCCAGCCTGGATGCTCAAGACCCAGGGAGGTCATGGGGGTGGCTATGTCCCATGGGTGCCTGGGAACAGATTGGCACTGTGTATGTCCCTGAAGTGGGCACCATGCGGTGCAGAATTGGCTGTGTGATGACTCTGATGACCTGCAGCATGGCGGAGTCTCGACGGGCAGCTGGTCACTACCAGACCACCATGGGTCCTGTGACAGTCCCTCTGCCAGGAGTTCTCCTGGGGTCCCCAAGCCTGGCCTGGCCTGGCCTCCTTGGGATGGGGGTGATGGGGGAACCAGTCAGCCCCCCCTCTCCATGTCTCCCCATTGCCATCCCCTGCTAGGCTGAGCAAAGTGCCATCCCATGACTCTTCCCACCCCATGGCCTGCAGCAGAGACACCCCAAATATTGGGGCAAAGCAGCCTCAGTGCCAGTTTTGTGCCCAG